CTAGGCCCAAGGTGGTCATGGGCAAAATCATCCAAGTTCCCTGCTCTCCTGGGGCTTACAGGAGGAAGCAAGATAAGTTCATCAAGTAGTCATGTTGAAACATGTGAAATTTCAGTCACGAAAGGAGGAGAGGCACGTAAAGCTATGAAAGCATACGAGGCAACAGGCTGGTATCCTCTGGGTAAGCAGTTCTCAAAGTGTGGTCCCTGGACCAGCAGCCTCAACATAACTGATGACCTAGTTAGAAATACACAATTTTCAGGGCACCTGGGCGCTTCAGTCAGTCAGGCATCCAACTCTTGATCTCAGCTTAGGTCTTGATCTCAGGGTCTTGAGCTCAAGCCCTGTGGTGGGCTCCACACTGGGCATGAAGCCTCCTTGAAAAGAAATACACATTTTCATTTCCCACTCTAGAGCCACTGGATTAGAAACTCTCAAGGTGGGGACCAGCCTCTGTTTTCACACATCCTCAGGAGACTGTCATACACACTCAGGTTTGAGAACTCTTACTTCAGATCGTCCAAGAAGGCTTCTCTGCAGAAACAACTTCTGGATTATAAAGGAAAACTGGGCAATAGGGTAGGGTGGGAGAAGTATTTCATACAGAAAGAATGGCATGTGTAAAGGCCCTGTAGTAAGAGCAGAGAGTTTTGAAAACCTGAGGGATTAGCCCAGGAGAGAAGAGTAATACAAGATGCGTCTGGACAGGTTGGTAGAACCAGCATATATAGGTCATGGAGGCCGCATCATGGATTGGGCAATAGGAAGCTTTTCATGTGCTTTAAACACAGGGATGATGCAGTCTTACTTGTTTCCATTTAAAGAATAACTCTAGCTACAGTATGGAGCAAATATTGAAGGAGGAGCGAGAGTAGACCAGTTGGGGGTCATGGCAGGGGTTTCAGGAAAGATGGCAGTAACTTGCACTGGGGTGGTTTCCGGAGGGATGGGGAGAAAGGTGTATAATCACAGGATTCATAAAGTCCACAGGTCTTGGTGATCAGTTGGAAGTGTCAAGGATGACTCTGGCATTTTGAGTTCGCATGCAAGGTGGAGGACAATGATGCTAAGTTTGGCAGTGGGAAGGATGGATTGTGAGAAGGTCCTGCTGAGTTTGAAGTGTCTTTGTGTAGATATCAATTCAACGATGGAAGGTGTGGGTCTGGAGCTCTGGGAAGTCAGGGCTGGCAGTACACATAGGTGAGTCATCAAAAGCTAAAGTGCCAACTAAAATTGTGGGACAGGGTGAGGTCACCCAGGGAGTGAGAATACAGTGAATAGAAGAAAGCCCGAGTGCTCACTGAGAGATGTCATTATTCTTGTTTATTGGTCAGATGGGGTTAGGAGGACCCCTGTAAAACCCACTTAGTGTAAAGAACCAAAAAGAAGGAAAAAAACTAGAAACCGGGGAAATACAGTGTCACAGAGGCCAAGGGATGAGAGGGTACAGGAAGGAGTGCTCAACAATGGTGAGTCAGGAAGTCAGGCAGGAGGTAGCTGGAAACTGCCCATTGGATTAAGTGAGATTAAGTGACATGGAAGGCGCTTGGTGTCTCTAACGAGATATTTCAGTGGAGTGAAGAGAGCAAAAGCTAGAATGAAATGGATTGAGGTGGGAATTGAAGGCAAGGAAACCGGAGAGAGTGAGTAGAGACAACTTTTTAGAAATGGTTGTAAAGTGGAAGAGAGGGCACCTGTTGGTGGCGGATGTGGACTCAAGAGGATTGTCCTGATTCGTTTGATTGTCGAGCGTGAATGGTTCTCGCATGCTAACGCCTAAGGATTTCATTGAAAGGGGATGGTTAAATAAAAGAGAGATGTGACCGTCCAAGGTTACCAAAGATCAAGATGCAAACACAGGTTAGAGAATGCAGGGGCTCGGGGATTCGATAGCTCCTGCACTAGCCTGGATTTTTCTGAACCCCAGTGACTTGCCCAAGGCCAGATGCCCGACCTGGAATGCCCGTCCGCCCCTCCTTTCCTTGGCATCTCTCCTCTCTGCTGCCTGGCCTGCCCACAGCCCATTTCCTACAGCCTGCTCAGCTGTTTTCTCAGCTTTGTTCACCCACTGTTAAGTTATTAACTTGTCAGGGTCCAGACTCCCCACTTCCTTTCCTACTTTGAACCCACTCACTGTTGGCTCCCTTCCTGTTCGCCGCCTCGGAAAGCCAGCCCGGGGAAAGCCAGGGTGACTCCGCGGGTCGTTACTGGCAGGCACACAGAAGTACAATTAACATAATTGGTCTAGAATGGTGAAGGCTTCTTACAGACATTGATACAACTGAAAAGGGAAGAATAAACTCAGGCCTCTCTTCCTTATCTTAAAGGTGGAGGCAAATGGTGAGCCTAAAACAGACTTTATCCAAAGTAACTTCTCCAACCAGTTTCGATTTTAAAGAGTCACCTGTACACCTGTTAAGGACCATCAGATTTTTACATTTAATTCATGGATTCAGTAGGATCAAGAGTGATCTTTAATTAGTTCTTAAAGCAGACTTAGGAACTGGTAAGTTGGTTTAATAGAAGCGTTGCTACTCCAAAACAAGAAAATCTTGTCTAAGAGTCTAGAGAAATTTGCAACAGTTCTGTAAAGAGAACTGAGTGGCTTTATCATTACCTAGCATTTTTGAAGTCATGAATTAACTTAATGGAGCATGATGGACCTAAGGCACAGACAGTTTCCTATTTGTCGACCTATATTCCATTGATAATGACTTCTTGTCTAAGGCTAAAATTAAGGGAGAAATAACATTTTGGGGCATTTTATTATGGGCAGATTTTTGTGCTTATATCATGATCCTCATCCCTTGCAATCCTCTGAGATGTGTGTTATCTACGAATAGAGAAATTATCATTACAAATAGAGAAGCCGGGGCTCAAAACTGTGTAGGAATTTCCCAAAGTTCACACCTCTAGGGAGTGGCAGGTAGCACTTGGTACTTGAGCTCTGGTCTCATGCTCATGAATGGAGAGGCAGCGGCCATTACTGTAGAGATGGTAATAACAGCAATAGCTCCCGTGCATCGAGCCCTCAGTGTGTACCCCGCCTTCCTACACTTTGTATCGTTTAATCCCTATGACAGCACTGCAAGCCCCTTGGTTCTCATTTTACCCAAAAGAAGTAGTCTCCAAAAACCTTAAATAATCTGTCCAGTCACACAGCTATCCAGTAAAGAACTGGAATTCAGACCTAGCTCCAGCTGACCCTGACATTCCACGATACACTTGTTGGTCAAGATTAGGGATGTTTCCCTGATCCCAAGAACAAAACATGAGGCATGGTAGATGTAAATACTTTTTTCCCCTAATGTTGAATCTACAGCTGCCTCCCAGGACTCCTGTGGGCCTGGAACACAGCCTGCTTAATGTTTATTCTTTGTCAGCCTTGGGAGGGGAGGACAGAAAGGCCAGCCATTTCTGTGAGCGTATACATTTGGTAAAGTACTTTCTCACCTGCTCAGCAACTTCTGCTGTCAAGACCCTCCCCCAAGCCCGGGATGAGCCAAGGAAACCTCTGAGCACAACCAGAATGAAGTATCACAAGTTGTTGAATTCACTCCTCCGCTTTTTGTGGAGAAGACCGTTCACACGGAACTGGCTAACTTTAATTTTCCGTGTAATTCTAACAGTCTTTGTGTACGTCTTGGTCTGTAGCAACATGATAACAGAAGAGGGCCCGCCGCAAGCTGGTGTAGTAACACCAGAGAGGTGAGCGGAGATGATCCTAATTGACACAGAGGACACAGAAGCAGAAATGAGAGCCCAGAGCCCAGCCAGCCGGGGCTGTTTGGGTCTCAGATCAAACACCTCGCACACTCCATGCCCACACTCCACTGGGGGTCTTAGCAATGGCTGTTTTTCATTATGGTCACGCTGAACATTTATGAAAGATTAACATGATGTCAGGTTTGGTGTATATCTAATTTAGGAGAGTAGTGATGATGTATGCAGGTGTTTTTGTTTTTAGAAAAAAAGATGCATTCATGCTTTATCTTTCCTTCACATCTAGCTGTCCGAGAAAGATCTCCCAAGGCCCTGGGTGTTACTGAGCTCTGCACACCCGAAGCACAGCACCTGGTGCACAGTACATGCTCACTAACGTTAGATGATGGGATGTCAGTGCCTTGTTTCCAGCAGGTTCTGGATAGCCTGCTTTGCCATGGCCACTCAGCTGCATTCCTGGTGGCTCTGTTTTTAGACAGGATTAAGTGAAATGCTACCCGGCCTCACTTCCAAGAAACCATGCAGCACATGGTGGTTACATTTCTCATCATTCTCGTCCTCACCAGGCCTGACCACCACTGCCTCTGCGGAGGGTTGTAAAAAAGATGTTGCTGCCTTATTTTCCCGGACACATTTAAAAACCCAGCAGCTAGAACGAGGCTGGGGAAGCTAAATCGCTCTTAGCAAAATAAGCGAGGGTGTCAGGTGGGCTGGCAGGCTCTCCACGCCCTCGGTAAAAACTCCTGGTGGCTCTGGATGAGAGGCAGCGGCGTTTCAGAAAAGTCACAGGCAGCCGGAAGATCTTCCCTCAAGGGTTACCGGCATCCCCAGGCCCGGTTTGGTGCATCTGCTGCAAGCACCTGGCCTGCATTCCCAGCTCAGGGGCTGCTCGCTTTCCAGGTCACCGCCGTTTTGAAAAAGCAGCCTCACTGACCTGTTAAATGAGCGCAGTGCCTGTATGAAAGCCCTGTCCCCTCTTCCCAGCAGCCACAGGACACTCTCTGAGCGCCCGAGGCATCTCTGGCCCGAACCCCTGATGGAATTAGCAGGAGTTATCTATAAATCCCCGAGGCATCCATCAGCAGACAGAGCAAGGCTGCCTTTTTAAAGAAGTTCACTGACCTCTTGTTAACTTAACTCCTTGTTAGGAAATATCTAATCAGCTGTACGCTAACGTGTCAAGGGCCCAGGGGTCAGCAGAAGCCGGGCTCGCTGTGGGCTTGGGTTTCCAGCTGTGAGCTGCCTGCTATCTGAGCTGTCTTGTTTTCCTCTTTCAGCTATCTTTCAGATCATTCAGAGCATAAGGATGGGCATGTGAGAAGGCCCGGGGATTTGACACCACCTCCTCCCACTGGAGGGCGGAGGACCACTTCGGCTTTTAGCCAGGTGTCTGTGGGAAGCAAACAAGCCACACAGAATAGAAACAAATGCTCCCTCCATTGTTCCCCGATCCCTTCATCGTGGATGTCAGACCACATTGCCTTCTCACAGGACATCTTGGTACATCCGTGTTCTCGAGCGGAAAGGACATTTTGCTTTTCTGTTGGCGGGATTGGTAGCTGCCGAGTGTCTGCAGCAGCGCCCTGTCTGGTTTTGCCCTTGGTCTCACTAATGTCTGCATGTGGCCCTCCGGATGATCACCAAGTTGCTTTCCATGGATACGGCCTCTCCTCCATCGGGAGTTGGTTTTACAAATAAATGTCTTTGTTCAACCTTCTACCATGTGTGGGTTACAGTGAGAAACCTGAAGTGAAGACAATGCCAGAATAGCTCCAGGTGGGGGGGGGGGGGGGGGGGGGGGTAGGAACTGGACTAGACAGTTGGGAAAGTGTCAAAGAATCTGAGGTTGGGGAATTAGAGTTAGATTTACCTTCAAGGTCTTTGCCCAGAGTGAAGACCTGGGCTGCTCTAATGACCTTGCATTTTCCCCACATTTTACTTTTTAATTTTTTTTCCTTGATTTTGGGTCGTTTTATTTGTTTTTTTGTTGGTTTTGTGGGTTTTGGCTGTTTTTTTGTTTTTGTTGTTTTTGTCAATGCAGAAAAAGCACTTACAAAGTGTGTTACGGTTCAATCAGCTGTTATCTGCTCTTTGTCTGCCTTAGGGCTTGGGGAAGAGCAGGTGTCTGAGGCCTCTTTATGAAAACCAGCCAACCTCAGGGCTCAGCCCTGCCCTAATAGAGCCCAGGAGGGCGGGACTCCCATCTCCCTCTGGGTGGTCAGCCCGGAGGCTGGGAGGGTGAGGCCCAGGGCCCGTGGGTGCAAACCTCCCCTCCCTGGCGGGCTTCCCGCAGCCTCTCTAAGTGTGGTCTGCCTACATGGGCCTCCCCGTGTGTGGAGGGCGGTCGGGGGAGTGGGAGTCACATCGCAAAAGGCAGACCCTGGGGTTTCACCTCAAGCCTGCTGAATTCGAAGTGCGGCAGGTGGGGCCAACTCTGATGTCTTGTACAAGCTCCCTGGGCGAGGCTTATGCACTCTAAATTTTGGGGACCATGATCCTGAGGAAGCCCAGCTCAAGAGAGAGTACGTTTTGTCCCATCCCAGGCAGCAAAGACAGCCGCAGCTGAAGCGCGCTCTGAAGCAAGGCCTACCCTGCGGCCCTGCGGGGAGGTGGAGGAAGGGGGAGTCGGCCTGCTCTGCTGCTCTGACTTCTGATACGGCCTGGAGAAGTCTCTGCAGCCACAGAGATCAGCATCCGGATTAAAGATGTGCACCGTGCAACTTTAAAGAGTCCCGTGTTGCTTTTGAAAGCTCCATCTTTGCATTCTTGGCAATTTTTTTTTCATTCCTCAATATTGTGAGAGCTTTAAACATGGAAGTGGTGGCAGTGGCCTGGACCTCTGCCCACCTCTTCAAAGACTTCGTTGTAAGTGGTGCACTTAAAAATGGGGGGTGGGGAAGAGGGGAGCTTTTTGTCCACTGGAGTCTTTTACCCCAGACCCTTCGGTGATGTTCTTTAGTGCTTTCTTTTCTCCCATCCTCCTCCCTCCCCCTCCTCCTCCTCCTCTTTTCCTGCTGAGAAGAGGGCAGCAGGCTTGCTCCAAAGTCAGCAACCCCAAGGACAGTCTACCACCCTGTGCTCCCCACCACTGCCGCCGCCAGGCCCCTCCCAAGCTGGCAGAAGGCATCTCCCACCACGAGGGCTGCACACGCGATGCTCTGCGAGCTGGTCCCCTCATCCTGCTGGCTCTGCTGCCCGTTCTCTTCTAGGTCACTGAGTACGACCAGTGTACTGTGAAAGATCAGCCCTCAGGGCTCCTGCCAAGAGGCCAGAAGAAGAAAGGCTGCTTGACGTAGGTTTACCTGGTCTGTGCTCCCAGACGTGGCCTCTCTAACTCCCACATTGCCTGCACTTGCTCGGAGTCTGGCTTTCTCTTCCTGCCCTGGTAACAGCATGCTCGCCAAACCACCATGAAAGGCCATTGCTGGGCCCATGCTTTGTGGGTTCTCCTTTATTGGATAGGGTCTCCCCCTCCACACACACACACCGATTTGATTTTTCCCACAACGGTAATAGTCAATAGGGTGAGAATCCCTATTTTCAGAAAAGGGAAACTGAAATTTAGCCAGATTGGGCTCCGGATAAACCCAGCTGTCCCCGGGTGACAGGGGTGGCCAGCTGAATCGGCTACTATTGGTAAATTTCTGTGATTGACTTATCTCGCCAGGCTGTGGGATGGTCCACAAATTGGTTTCCTATTACTTTTCAGGGAGCCTCCCCGGAGTACTTGTGTGGGAGTGTCTGGCCTCCCCGGTGACGTCTATCACTCTTCTGAAGGTGGAGACAGGGGCTGCCCTGAGTAAATTAGGGTCACGGTTGATTCATGTTCTATAGCAGAGACATGCAGACTTTTTCTGCCATGACACACAGTAAGAAATACATGGCAACCGAAAGCACAACACAGCCACCAAAACAGGGTTTACAGGACACTTACCCTTAGTGTATGTCATGTAATCTTTCTAACTACCCCCCTGCCCCTGATCTATTTCTTTCTTTCTTTTTTTTTTTTTTTTAATATTGGTTGCATCCTCCTCAACTGATTTTATAGCCCATGAATAGGTTCCAACCCACAGCTTGGAAACATGGCTCTTCCACCAAAAATCAAGCCCTTAGCAGGAGACAGATGAGCAGGTCTCGTAAGGTGAGAAAGTCTGAATCTCACTTTGCATGCTGGTGAGAGCCTGACATCACACCAGCCACAGCCAGTCAGTGCCTCCTGTGATACGTGAGCTCTTTCTTTGGGTATGTAAGGTACATTGGAAAGAGAACACTGGCAACACCCTGAATTCATTGAAATAATATGAAATAAACACCATGTTCTATTTGTCAGCGATCACTTGCTGTTCGTCACAATCATTTCGCGTAGGGATGGGTGGTTTTTAAAGCTGGAATCCACCTGGGGTCTGCAGAGAACCAAAGTCTCCAGGGAAGATGTGCATGCGTGTGTATTTTGTTTAGTGTCCAGATGATTCTGATGCTGCCCATCTGCCAATTAGCATTTGGGAACCAACTCACCAGCTTAAACTCTGACTTAACTGAAGCCAAAGCAAGGACTCAGCAGTAATACCCCCAAAACTAGCCCTGTGTCAACTCTACGCAAAAGTTTTCCCTTCCAACGTTTTAAGCCTTTGGGGTTCTCCACAGAGTTTGGCAACAGTGAGACACTATGTCTTGTTTTGCTCCAGGTCTTACGTGTCTTTGTGGTCCCAAGTAGATCACAGACTGGGGTTTATTCATTTTTGAAAGACAGAGAGAGAGCACAAGCAGGGGAGGGGCAGAGAGAAGAGGGAGACAGAATCTGAAGCAGGCTCCAGGCTCTGAGCTGTCCCCACGGAGCCCCAAGCAGGGCTCGAACTCACATATCATGACATCATGACCTGAGCCGAAGTCGAATGCTTCACCAACTGAGCCACCCAGGTGCCCCATGCATTATAATAATTCTTCCACTCAGGTCCCTGCTTGCGCTGTCTTTCAAAAACGAATAAACATTAAGAAAGGAAAAGAAAGAAAGAAAAAGAAAGAAAGAAAGAAAGCAAGCAAGCAAGCAAGCAAGCAAGCGTAGAGTCATCACCCAAATTTTACTACAATGCATTCTTAGGCATTTTAGGGTCTTCACACATATTTGTTTTTCTTAGTCTCCCCATAAGATGGACTGGACTCACAAGTGGCTCTTCTGGAGGGCTTGCTGTGTACCAGATGCTACTCAGGTACTTGTGAGAATACACTTGAACACTCATGCACACCTCACAAAGCGGCCCTTGGGTAGGTACTATAATTATCTTTGGCTTACTGATGAAGACACTAGACTCAGAAGGTTGGAAAAACTTGCCCAGGAGGCTGCTGCTGGTGAACCGGGGAGCTGGGATTCAGACCCAGGCAGATGGGCCCCAGCATCTGAGCTCTTTATCGCAGCACTGCCCTTAACAGGGCCTTATCCTAACAAACAGACAGGGCTGGTTTGGGTTTTGTTTCAATTTTATTTTCACTGCTATATATTCCAGACATACAACCATGCCTGGAACTCAATAATTGTTCATGAAATGAATGAATGAATGAGTTAGCAAGTAGTAGCCTCCTGGTGAATACACACTCCTGGACTGGCGGAGGGCAGAATTGAATTGTAGAAATGGCCCAGGACCAGAAATCAGGCTACTGGCTTTTTGCCCTGGCTTCTGCCCATCACTTTTTCTCTGGACCTTGATGCCCTCAGCCATACGTTTGAAGATATCCTGCCCTCCCGCATCACAGGGCTGTCGTGGGAAGCAAATGATATGATGTATGTGACGTTGCTTTGAAAAAACTGTAAAATGTATACAAATTATATACACACATAATTAGATCTATTCATACAATTATATATATAATCATTGCTTGCAACCATATAATAATATAATAATAATTGCTACTCAGGACAGGTGGGGACTGCATAGGTAAAAAACAAAAACAAAAAAACCTACAAAAAATGATTCACATTCAAAACCCTACCCCCACCAGGACCCTATCTTAGAACAACACGCTCTCGGCAGCAAGAATGCCCAGACAGGAAAGTGTGGATGGGTCGATGCAATCCATTCCAGCTAATGGAAAGAATTCAAAGTTCGTATAGAACCTCGGTGCCATGGTTATCTATATTATTGTTATTTATAATCACTCCTGAAGACAGAGCTTAGGTGAGACTGAGAATTGATCTGGGCTCTGGAGAACCATCGGCCTCTGCTAGTTTCACTTTGATTATATGTTTGTCATCTTCCAGCCCCCTCATATGTCAGTCCTGAAGGGAGTGGACGCAGGACATGCAGTCAACTCACATAGCACCAGAGATTCCACACAGATGGGGAAGGGGAGCTGGGGGAGGGGAGGAGGAAAGAGAGGAAAGGAAGGGAGAGGGAGGAAGGAAGAAGAAGAAAATGGAGGGCAGGGATTTTCCGACATTTCAGTGATTCACCTTATCACCCACTTGGAATCCCCGGGCACGCTTGGGCCAGGTCACAGGCCCTCCCTGTTGCGCCTCCCACACTCTCGACCTTCACTCCGGAATGAGTGCAGAATAAAGGTACATTTCTGCTGGAAAGGCGTGAGTAGGATTGTCAGGGAGTAAGACGCCGGAAACGGGCCCTAGATGCTGTGGACTGAGTGTGTCTTGGGAGCTCAAGACAGCAGAGAGCAGGGGCCCCGGGGGAGCTGCTCACAACTTCCTGGGCTCTTAGGCTCCTTACA